TGGTAAATATGAGTGACCCAGAACAGACCCGTTAAGGGGAGACAAGTAAGAATTAAGCATATTCATAACAATGGATGTCTATTTCCGTGACAAATGGAAGCATACTTATAACTTTCTCTATTGTTTTAGAGTTTGCTTGCACAAAATAATGGCATGGATTCCAAATGGCAGATAGTAATTGGTACAAATGGTGGAGAGGTCAAAGGGTTTTGGCTTTGTTTGTGCTGACTAATTTCACAGTTTGAGCCAAACATGGAAGATCACCAACTAAGACCAGGTCTTCCTCATTAGAATCTTCTTTACTGTAGTTTGCTTAACACAAACGTAGCCAGGTCAGAAGTCAAGTAGAAGGGCATCAAGCCAATAGTTCTGGAGAACAAACTAAATAGCCTTAGAAGATCATCCATTTGCAGTTGGTTTTATTGCAAGCAGATGAATTGTATTGCTATAACCTAGAGAAGTAACAAATATGTACCTATATCACTGCGCATATGCAGGTATTAAAGTAATCGGAATTGTCGAGTGCTTTTCCTATTGATGCATAAATAGCCACCCAAACTATTTTAGCTTTTTAGTTATGTTATATTCTTTGACAATAAGTAATGACCTACCTCAGGCATAATCACTATGTGCTGTATAAATATGTGAGCCTCCCCACCCCCAGGTAAACCAGACTAGAAAATCAATTCCAGAGGAAGATTAAAACTATTTTGATTGAGACTGGCTGTATTAACTGAATCTTGCAAGTCTGATTGTACTGTACTTTCTTCTTATAGTTAAGTGAATTAGGGATGTGTCTGCCTGAACATCTTCCAAATACTATTTTGTTGTTCTGAACTTTAAAAATGTTTCATCCCCTTTTGCTTAGGTAATGGTTTCTGCACACCTCCATCAAGGTCACTGTAGATGATGTAGATATTGTCCATGCTATTTTCGTCCATTGCTTTGCTTAATCAGAAGCACATCCATTCTGTTAGGAATGGGCTTCCCTCCTTCGCTTTAAGTATGCCCCAGGGATTTGTAGCAGATTCCATCTTTAGACTGCAACGGTCGGGAGAGGAAATTCATTCAGATTGCGTTGTACGCAATGTAGCAAATTCTTGTTTCTTTGAACCAGCATATTTATGCTTGAATAGTCATATTTTTTCAAATGCTATGTTTCGGTTCTCCAATCAAATGCAGTTTTTAATGTAAATTACTGAAAAGAGTAATAATGATCTAACAGGGGAAGTGGGCATGAAATGCATCTGAAAAAACTGCTGAGATACAATTGCTATGTTACTATACTACATTATACTATGCTATGCTTTGCTACGCTACGTTACGTTATATGGAATACAGAATAACAGAATTGGAAGGGACCTTGGAGGTCTTCTAGCCAATCCCTGTTTAGATTAAGTTAGGTTAGGTTAGGTTAGGTTAGGTTAGATTGCTATGCTATATGATGGTATGATATAGATTAGATTACGTTAGATTACATTAGATTAGATAGATTAGATTAGGTTATGCTGTATAGGATACACATACACACTGAATTGAGAAACTTCTACCCAAGTACGTTACAGTGAATAAAAAAATATGAATTCCCTTAACCATCAGTAAGAAAAGTAAAATGAAGGATTGTTCTAAACCAATACACTATATAGTTTGCATTCTCTTATATGAGATTTTTTTCTGATGGCAAGCTATTGTACATTGGCCTGAGCCACAGCCAAGGCAGAGGATGCCTTGCTGAGCATGCAATGTCAAATCACCAGTTTCATTTTGCCATGCCTAAATTAATTCCTAACGAGTCAGCATATGATTAAATCTGGAGTATTGTAAGGCCTTAATACTTTTAAACAATGTCATTCTGTATTCACTTACTGAGAACTCAGTTACACAGTTCAGTATTGTCCTACTCCAGTACAAGTGTGAGACTTGAGCCTCGGTGATTGAATGAGTCCTTACATACGTGCAACCGGTTGCAAGCCCCATTAACCGCGAAGGGCTCCTTTTCTGAGCAGGCATTCTCAAATGTTATTAAGTTGCAAATCAAATCTTGCTGTGTAAACAATACACAAGTTCAATTATGTTTTATTACTACTCTTCTGAATAGCGAAGGGTCCGACTGAACCAACTTCTAATAGGCTCTATAAGAGAAGAACAGATATCAAATCTTAAGAGCTTATTGAGGCTCACAGGATCTCTGAGTACTGTAATATGCCTCTGCTCTTTTATTTGAGATGCATGCTAGTCATTGCATTGTATTTGTACAAGGACAATTTTCTTAAAAGTCTCCTTCCCAAAGAAGTTTATATAATTATTACACGGTGACCCTATCTACTAAATTATCTCTATGTCCTTGTTCCATTGTTATCTACTCCAAAGCTGCATATTAAGTTCATATTTAGTATTGAAACATAGTGTAACTCATTTTTGTCAGCATTGTTCAACAATCATCACCATCATCATTATTAATAGTCAAGGGCATGAGAGAGAAATTTTTTAACTGAACAAATAGCCTAAATGAAGAAAGCAGAAAGTTGATAATGTTATTTGAATTTATTTGTTTGTTTACATGTGTTTCTGTGTGATTCTTCTATTACTGCCATCCACTAGGACTCAAAGTCAAGTACAGATATTAATGGGAATATGTGTACATGGAGAGAGACAGTTTGATGCAGTGGCTATGACTAGAAACTGGGATATTGTGAATTCTAGTCCTGCCTAAGGTACAAAGCTGGGTGATTTCAGGTCAATCATTTTTTCTTAGCCCTAGAAAGAAGGCAGTGGCAAATCATTTGGGGAAAGTTTCTGTTGTCCAGAAAATTGTAGGGAGTAGTTGTCCAGGTATTTTCCAGGAGTCAAGACTGATTCAAAGGCACCTTTCCCAAAGCATACATAACCTACTAGAAGAACAAGATGTTTACCATCTTCTGAGGACCATGGGAATGCATTCTTGCTTAGGGAAGCAGGCTGTTCCATAGGAGAGGAGCTATGGTATAGGAACAACTCCTCCTAGGTGGGCCCCATGAGCAGATGGTTCATGGTCATCTAGGTTAGATAGGCAGATTCTTTCTGGGAAAGAGATTGATGTTAAGGAGATTATTATTCAAACTATAAATGCAGTGAAATATGTCAAGATTTTGAGACTACTTTTCTGAGTGCCACTTATGGAATAAATCCCATTCAACTCAGTAGTAATTCAGTCTGCTATGCCTGGAATTGGATTGCAGGAAAATAAACTATGTGTTGTGCATTAGCTATTGCTCATCTTATATCAGGACAGGTAATCTGCAGTCCGTATGCCCTATTAAACTATCTACATCCCTTTGAAGTCCGTGCTCCAAGATCATGTTCCTGAAATTCAGTAAAAAAATTGCTAATTTCGCATTTGCTAAAAAAAAAATAGCTGGTTGAATAGATAAAAATGAAAAAGTATACTGCCAAGAAAAAAAAACTTAGAAGGTTGGAAATTCTAGCCACACGATCATTGTTGTATCACCCCCATTCTTACTGAAAGTCAAGGTAGCCATGAAGTTCATTTAAGTTTGCTTGCTCCAAGAATGGTTGGCTGGTATCCTGTTTAATTATAAACACTTTCACATGAACAACTTAATATGAATCATGGATTGATTAACAACAGATCTCACCCTCTCCTTGCATCATATTCCCTCCCTCTCTTTTTGGCTAGGTCGATTAGATAGATAGATAGATAGATAGATAGATAGATAGATAGATAGATAGATAGATAGATATTACTAGTAATTTATATAATTTTAATTTTTAATATTGTAAAGCCATCCAGAGTTACCATGTGACAACATGGGCACCTAATAAATTTTAGAAATAAATATACTGAATCAGATCGCTGCTCTAATTAGCCAATTAGCTGAGGTCTTGGATAAAAGTCTTATTATCGGTATTTTGGGTCAGATATGCAGTAACTACGTGGCTCTAATTATTATTAAAGGGTAACTTCCATCCAGGAGTGTCCACAGGGAAAGTCAAGAACATCAGTATGGTGGACACGACTTGCGATCAAAACCCTAATGTGGATGTCATGCATCACATAAAAAGGGATGAAGCTTTCATTCTCTGGTCACACCTGCCATTTTGATACTGTTGAATTCCTCTGCAGACATCCCTGGTCCCATCATTCTTGACTTTTCTGTATGCAAAGTGGGCAGAAAGCTGTTGAAATCAAGAATATCTAGAAAATCATGGATTCCTGGTGCCTGCCTTAAGTAAATATACTGTATGTTTAATCCAAGATAATTTCCTATAGCCGCATACTGTCTACACACTGATCATTAAGAAACTAAAATTCTTCTACTTGATGAAGTCAAAAGAAAGTTTTGATCAAAGTCTAAAGAAAGTTTTAATCTAGTTTATGATGGTTGTACAGAGCAGAGAAAGAAATCATATGGCTTTTCTTTCTCTCTCTCTCTGTCTTCTACAAACACACGTGTTATAGTGGTACCTTCCGTGACCTTTTTATGGAAGCACGAAATACCAGTTGTTTAGTTATTCCTTTCCAAAGAACAACCTGCTGAAGTGAATCACAACCTGTTCTATTAAGTAGATCAGTGTTTCCCAATCTTGACAATTTTAAGGCATGTGGACTTCAACTCCCAGAATTCCACAGCCAGCTGGCTGTGGAATTCTGGGAGTTGAAGTCCTCATGCCTTAAAATTGTCAAGTTTGGGAAACACTGAAGTAGATAGATTTCTTCTCTATCAGCATCCTAGGAAATAATGTTAAATTCTTAGGCTAACATCAAATGGTAATTTTTTTGTAAGAGTATTGTTGAGGAGAGAGTTAGCAAGAGTATGCAGTGATGCACCTTGGGGGGGGGGGGGGGGAAATGACATTTTGTCCCCAAATTTTCTACCTGATAAAAGTGGACTGTCCCGATGTTCTTTGCAATATTGCTGAAATGACACTGCTGAATGGTTTTATTGCTACGGCATTAAATCAAAGGCAGCCTTTAATCAAAAGCTATCTTCTGTTCCCAGACCATCGTCAGAGGAAATAAACCTTGCAAGGATGCTTCAATCAATGGCTTGCTGGAAGAATTTGACAATATCTCCGTGACTCGTTCCAACTCACTTCGGAAGGAGAGTCCTCCCACTTCTCACCTAAGATCCTCCAACCATATAGAAATCCACCAGCAAGAAAATGGCTTTGTCACCTATTCACAGTATTCCAGCGAGTCAGAAACAGGGACTGATCTCTTTGTTGAAAAATACAGAGACAGGTGCCTTCGTAGGGAAGAAGCAGACAGATACTCCCAAGAGAGCTGTGCTGCAAAACAAAATGGACACGTGGCCAAGCTGAAGCCAAGTGAGATGTATTTTTCTGAAGCCAAGCCTCTGAAGTCTGATATCTCTAGATTCCTACCAGATTATCGCACTCCCTTGGAAACAAAAAGTAAACTGAATGAGTATGGTGGCCTGAAGCTGGAATATCGGAGGGTACCTAGTCACTCTTCTCTGGATTATAAAGAGCCTTTTCATTATGCTCTCTCTAGAACTTCTCTTCACAGTCAATACTCCAGAGAAGGACTAGAATACAGTGACAGCGAGTGGTCCAAGGATGATTACGACAAAAGACCGAAATCATCCTATGTGAACCAGGCAAGTCCTCAACCAGCCATGAGGCAAAGGTCAAGGTCAGGGTCTGGCCTTCAAGAGCCAATCATGCCCTATGGAGCAAGTGCTTTTAAGTCCAATCAGCAAGGGTATTCATATAGTTCCTACACCTACCCTCGATTGTCGGAAACAACAGCAGGCATTTCAAAGGTAAATTTGTACGGGTCCACATTTTTAACCTTACTATCATTTCAGAATTTAAACACTCTGTTTCCCTTTAGTAATGTCTCCATGCCTCAGTTCTAAAGAGGGGTTTATGCTCCAGAAAATTGACATGAATTAGCATGAAGGTTTTCTCATTTTAAATCTTTGTCATTGTGACATAATGCAATATTTCTGCTTCTTCTAAATATGGGACAGAAGTCAAATAAGATTAATATTAGCACTAAGTAGATAAATCTAGATGAAGATTGTCTTAAGGTCAATAGAAATGGAAGGAACTAGTCCATTTCTAGGAATTTTCTCATATTTCTTCTTTGTGGGTTAATATGGGCACCTCAACTGTCCTTGTATTTTGGTATCAATCATACATGTTAATATGTACATGAGGGATGCATGCTTTTTAAGCTACCTTGTTTTCAGATTGCTGCAGGCTTAGTTGTGTACCTTAGTTTATGTTTGGATGAGGTTTAAGATGCAGATAATACATAATATATGTTTCGTAAAGAGTTGAAATGTTCAACTGGTGACTACTTCTCTTGTTCGCCTCATATTTAATTCATGGAAGCATTTACCCAAGCAATCATACCTAAAATAATTTTCTCGGCAGAAAATAATCTGGATAAAATCAGAAAGAAGGTGAGTAATTTAGGGGAATTATAAATGCAAAACTACCTGATTCCCATAACATCCCTTGTTATAGTAAGTTCTCAACTACCATAGCTAAATAGGCTGAATTGTTTAGTTTAGCTTGTAGAAGCTACATATGGTAAACATCCTGCTTTTTATGAGGCATTGTTCAACAAAGAAGAAGAGGAAGGCTTCAGGGCACAATCTTTTTCCCAGATAAATCTCATATTGGGATATCATTTTATTAAGTACCTGCTTCTGAATCAGCCTTGTTTGACAATCTTTGGTTAGGCTTCTACTCGCACACAAAGATGTACGCAGGCATGAGCCATGAATGAAGGTTGAAATGAAATTAAGCTGGTGATGATATTTTGTATGCTATTAAACAGCAGACAAGTCCTGTACTTCTTCAGCTCATTAGTTAAGGTTTACTTGTCCTACTCATTTTGGATTTCTCCTTCCCAAAAAGATTCAACAATTCTACACCCCTCATCAATAAATCTACCCCTACATTTTCCAATAGATCATCATCATCAAAACAGTTTTCTGTTTTGAACCTAATTCTCATAAAATACTAGAACAGGCACAGCAATTTGACAGAATAAATGTTAAACCATGCACAATGAATACTTACTTCCTAGCACAAACATTTGGTTGCTGGTGATGGCTATACCTGATCATATAATTATCATTGGATCCCCATAAGCCAGGTAGATAAAACCATGGAAGAAGCTTTTTGTGTTATCTCATGTCATTCGAGTTAGTACTGTTGAACTCAGTGGAATCTTTCCAGAGCAAGAGTTGATTTATCTGATTCCGTCTAGGGCAGGGGTGTCAAACTGCCGGCCCACGGGCCGGATGCGTCATCCGGAAGCCGCGCCCACCCCATTGCCGGCAATGGCAAAACTGTTCTGATATGTTGCATGACGTCACGTGACATCATGAGTTTGACATGTCTGGTCTAGGACATTGTGACCTGATACCACCGCCCAAAAAAATAATAAAAGGAACCTCACCTTCAGAGCAAAAATCCACACAGTCTAGAGTCGGTTAACTGTTTTCAAGTCAAAGGCTACATTAACTCTGTTGTGCCAGAACTAGACTCCAAAATTAAATACAGTTAAGGCATTTAACCCCCACTCCTTTATGTCTAATAATTTCCCCTTCCATCTCACAAAAAATGTGTTTGGTGGAAACATTTTGGAGGGCTCTGCGGAATTGTTTCTAAAATATTTGGTCAGTCACTACCTATGGCCTGCAGTCCTATATGGCGCAACTATGATACAGTTGCCAACCTGTTTCCAATATGACTACACTTATACCTTCAGAAAATGCATAATAAGAGCACAAATTTACTTTTCTGATTGGAATTGGAGGGAAGTACTTTCTTGTCAAAACTCAACCCATACATCTGGCTGCCATGGCTAATCTCCTGATAGCACCAGACACATTCACTTTTGAGGCATTTGACTAATTCCTTTTTAAAGCTGTCTAAGCCCACAGCAAGTCCCACATCATCGGGCAGCAAATCCCAGATCTTTGTTATGCCTTGTACAGAGTATAAGAGTTTTTTTGAGTTGTTTTAAGTCGGGTTCATGTTTCAGCTGAGCCTGCAACGAAGTACAGTATAGAGACATATATATGTTTTATCATAGGCAGAACAGCATATCAAAAAGAACACGCTCCTTCTTTTCTTTCAAGCCACAGTGGAAGTTGTGTGAACCCAATATGGAGGAATAAAACAGCAGTTAATTTTGTTTAATTGAACGCGTCAGCTCTGAGTGGAGTTGACATCGATTGTCCATTTTTCAGTCCAGGGTAAGGAAATGTAATTTATACTGGTTAAATTTCTCAGTGAGTGCCTTCATTTGTGTCAGGATCTGCCACGGCTCATGTTCCTTTGCGGGTATCTCCCACATCCTATTCCTTTGAGGTCTTTTAATGTGTTGGTTTTCTTGCTGCTTTCCTATCCATATTTTTCCCTACCTATCCAAAAAACCCTGAATTATTCAAGTACCAGGGACACAGCCATCGCTTAGCAGCTAAATAGAGCCAGTCTGTACACCTCTATTCACAAGAACGTGCTACTGAATTCAATGAGACTTACTTTGAGGCCAGCTTATGTAGAATTGCGACTATGCCAAAGACAATAGCAGATGCATTTGAGCTCCTGTTACACCAAGCCTTACAGCTGCTTCTGCAGCAGCATGTTCTGTCTCACCGCTGTGACTTTGATGGATGTCTTGTCAGAATTTAATCTGCTTCATTGACCTGGATTTGAGGAAGTGATTCTTTTTCACTTTTCGTATCTTTTCCTTAGGGTAGTTTCATCGATCTCTATTTATATTTTATACTTTGAAAGGTAATATAATTGTATGTGTTTGTCTGATTTCTTTCTTGTCACAATCTCATCACTCTCAATGGGATATCAGTTCAATAAATATAGTGCATGTTATTGACTTTGCAGTGTTACAGATATCTGTGCCTGGACCTTGTTAGGTTGTTTACAGTTTTCTCACTGCATACAGTACAGGAAACAGCATATGTGTAGAATATATGAATGAGAGTATTTTAGCAGCAGCTTTTTATTTTCTCCTGCAGACTTTCATGCAAAATAATTCTGATATTTTTAAACTACATGTCAGATCACTAATGGGCAGAGGGATTGACCTGATCAGACTATATCAGTGTTTCTCAACCTTGACAATTTTAAGGCATGTGGACTTCAACTCCCAGAATTCCACTGCTGGCTGTGGAATTCTGGGAGTTGAAGTCCACATGCCTTAAAATTGTCAAGGTTCAGAAACACTGGTCTATATCATGATCCAAGAGTTAAGACTTTTACAGAGGAAGCAGAAGGAATACAATCCAGACTATTTCCTATATTATAGTTTTCTCAAGTTGCACAACCATTAATTAAAAAAAAAAAGCTTACTTGAGGAAGATGCAGAACTGCATATAATGCCAGGAGCAAGGTTAGAAAAAAGCAGACAACTGCTTTATTTCCTCCAAAAAAATGTATAAATCACTGCAAAAGAAAAATATTGTAATAGCATCTGAAGCTTTAGTCCAAAATGACATGACACAGCAATCCTGCAGAAGCCACAGCATAAATATAGAACTTCCTTTTGATAAGCTCTCCTTTCTCACTGCAACAAAAGTTGTAGTGTCTTGCTGTGTGATATATGTAAGTATAGATTCCATCATATTTGGTCAGGACTATGCAAGGCAGGTTCAGGAATTTATTTTCTTCATTTTGTAGCTTCCAGATTTCCAGGTATGGTCACAGAGAATAGTTTGGAAAGTAATGCCTAGGTAATCTATTTTGATGCCTCAAACTTGGAGCTTTGTTTTAAAAAAAAAAAATACCTTATTGTAGTATTTCCTCCAACCCAGAGCAGAATGATGCAAGCAAACTGACATTGCTTACTTTTCAGTGATGGTGACGAAATATGGGATCAAAAAGGCAGTGTAAATAAACATTTATGCAACCAAGACATTCTGACGTTTGGAAATGTAGAGTTGGAATATTGTTCTGAAGGGGTTTCAGCAGAACAGCCATTGAGATTTCACTGCCACTGGTAGTCAGCTTCATTTTCTCCAGTCCAGATAAAATTCTTGGCCTGTCTTATATTCTCTTTATTATTATCCTTTCACAAAATATTCTGAGCTCTTCCTAGGAGGTTGAATTGTCATACAATTATCATATGCATCTGTTGTTCACTCCCAATTTATTTATGCCTCAGAAATTCGATGCTCCAAGATATAGTTAGAGGATAATTGACGTATTTGTTTTGGAACTAATGAAGGAGCGGTCTTTAAAATAAACTGACCAACACACTCATTGGTTTTAGCCTTCAGCACAGCTTCCAAGAGCCAGGGAAATCCTTTTTCTCGTCAAAACTTCCCAAGAGTTAAAAAAAAGAAGAAGAAGAAGAAGGGCCAGTGAAGGAATCTCCAGAGGTGGTTAAACAGATCTGATTCTTGCTGTGCATCTCTCTTCCTGTGCTGGATAGAATTCAGTTGTTCCCTCACTGTGCAGCAGCCTACGGAGATAAATTGATGCTGCAGCAGGCTTCCCCCATCGCTCCTCCCTACAGCCTTAGCATAAAATGGTCAAATGAAGTTCCACTGCAGAATTCAATTTCACAGTTCAGTTGGGTCCTTGATTACACTGCCAAATTCAGATTAATGTGCATTTAACTAACATGGATCAGAGGACTTCTGGCTGGCAGCCAGCAGTGAAACTAGTAACTAAACGCTGAATGGAGCTTCTGCTTTGTCCACCCCTGCCCCGTGCTTTACCACTGAAATTGATTGATTAAATAAATTCGCTGCTATAATTATTTGTAATTGTGCCA